TGGGTTATTTTTATTAGAGTGTGTTTAAAATCTCTATAACAATTACAAAAATTGTAAAAGAGATATATATTTTCAAATATATTATAAATGTTATTTAAAGAGATTTTACTATGCATATAAATATTATTTAAAGATATTTTACTGTGCAATCAAATATTTTAATAGAAGAGTTATTATGCTAGTTGCTATGCAACATTTGAAAATCGTAAAATTTGGAAGAAAATCAGTAGATCACTATTCATTGAACGTTACTCGGCAAATATTTTCAAATGGAACGTTGCTGTGCATGCTATAAAGTCAAGGCAAGGAGTGTCTACCTCAATGGATATAATTTTGTGTATATATAGAAGTGTTTTGGTAAGGGAAACATAAAAAGTGAAGAAGCAAAAAATTTGTGATATTGAAATATTCTCAAATATTGTATTGTGTTTCATTGAGTTATATTTTCTATGAGAAAATTTATTGAGAGTTTGAGCAAAATTGTAAAAGGGTTTTCTATCCTTTATTCATATTATTCTTGTAAAAATGGAGAGTTTTTGTGAGTGATTTTTTGGGATAGGCAACAGATTCAAAACTAGTTGGGATATTTTTGTGAGTGATTTTTGAGATAAAATTACTTGGTTAGGTGTGACTGAGCACCAGATTCTAAACTAGTCGGAGTAATCGGGAGTGGTCACTTGTTGTAAAGGTCTAGAAGCACCTGTGAAACTAGTAGTGTAATTACTATTTGAAATTACGATTTGAAAAATAGTGGAGAAATTCCCGAGGAGGATATACTTGGGGAGTGGACGTAGGTCCGGCGTGTCAAACTACTATAAATCGCTGTGTTTGATTTCTCTTCTCTTTGCTTATTTTATTTCATTACTTTATTTTATATTATTGAGCATATTTATTTATTTATTATTTGGGTTAATTTTTAATTTGACAATTTATTTAGAAACTCAATTAATCCCCCTTTTGGATTGCCTACCTGGAATAACAGTTTTGATTGTGGTCTTTTAATGTTCAAATTTCTAATGATAGGTGACGGAAGGATCATATTGCAACAAAATTAAAGTGTAGGGTTCAAATTATTCAAGTTGAAACTATGGGGACTAAAATAATTTTTTTTTAATTGGCAAAAAACAAAAAAAAAAAAGAATTTTATTGATGAATGCACAGATAGTTACAACAAATACAATTCATCAATAAATAAAAAACTAATGTAAAATGCATCATAGTGAAATGTCTCAATTCCAATTAGGTTGGCACTGAACGTGCCCGCTCAATTATATACTAGCACTAAGCCAAAGGCTGAAGAGTATCCAACCTAAACAATAAGACTAAAGTGACATTTGACTTAAACTGCAAGGATTAATAGTATAATTTACTTCTTTATATATATATATAATTTGATTGAAGTTATGTTGGAATCTTACATTATGAATAGAGATTTGTGAAGGGTTAAGATTTGAACTTATAAAAATAGACAAATATATAAAAATTAAAACAACTTAAACTTATAAGTTTATTTGGAATAAGATTTGAAAAATCTTATAAATCTCCAAGATATTGATTTGTGATTATGTATCAATTTTAAACAGTAAGTAACAATCTCAATCAAACAATCAAAGACAAATCGACATAATGATTTAACATGGAAAAATCACAATTGGAGTGCCTTCAATTGTGATAAAAAATCACACACAAAAGTCACAAAACAATCCACTAAAAAGACAAAAAAGAATTACACAAGTGTACCTTCAATTACCTAGCGAATCCACGCTCGAATTGAACCGACCCCTCTGTGCTTTTTTCACCATCGTCTTCACTTCGGAATTGTCTTGCTCAATGTTAAATCCACAACGCTGATATTGAATCCACGATGATGAGCTGCTCCGGAATCCACCAAAGTTTCAGGCCTAAGTTTCACGGAATCCACCAAACAACAACTGTCTCTTTTGTGTATAAACAAAAACAAACAAACCCATGATGGTTTTGATATGAAGTTCACGGATTGATCACTCTTAAATCATCAATGAAACATTTAGAAAGCACCATTCAATATAAAATACTTTGTATCTTGTTTCTCTCTAAAAATAAACCCTAGAAATAACGAACATCGCACTTTATAAAAAACAGAATTGCGAAGTCCGCTCGAACACACATTTCACCGTTTGAGCGGTGTGACTGAAGGTGATGCAAAACATACAAGCTGACCGCTCGAGCGGTAAAACTTTCTTCCTAAAAGTTCAGGCGCTCTGCAAAAATACTAGATGATCTGCTTCTTCGTTCGAGCACACAAATGACCGCTCAAGCAGTCAAATAACTTCGACTATATTTTTGCTCGATCCCCGACATAGTCATCAAAGTGTCAAACATGAAAGAATTAAGGTCACATACTCCTCTACAAGGCACCATTCGGGTTAGATTTGCATCTAAACACTCATATTTCACTGTAATAAAAGAGCAAATAAAATTACAACTGAAAGAAATTTTGTCAAATAAGATTGCCAATAACAAAAACTTAATAAGATTGAATGGGGTTAGTTACACTAATCTCCTCTACTATTAGTGAATATTACTCTTTCTCCCCACATCTATGAACATGTACATCCCCTTAACTATGAAAATCATACAAATGCACATCATTTGGAGGAGTTTAGGGGGGAATTTGCAATGGGTGAAAGTCACATTTTTATAATTGAGGAGGTCAAAGTGTATGAATTCATAAAATTGAGGAGTAAAGTAATATTTACTAATAGTTGAGTAGAAATTAATGTAAATAACTCAAAATAAATAAATCACACTTTTTTTTTTAAAGCTAATTAAATTTCAAGTTGAACTCGAACAACTCATCGGTCAGAGCTATTTTTATTTTGATTAAAAATTCAATAATGTCTGTGTTTCAAACTCTTAAAAAGAACCATTTCAAAATAAAAATAAAAAAACTTTTGAACGTGACAAATAAATAATATAAAAATAACAGTGAGTTAGCAGATGATTTTTTATGAAAAAAAATCTAGGAATTATTTAAATATGGCACGTTGCAGATATACATATAAATAAATAAATATATTTCTCATATAGTATTATATATCAAATAAACAAAAAGAAGAGAATCGTAACAATGATGATAACTATGGTACATTTTTTCTATGAAAGAAATGACTGAAACGTGGTTCATTCTTTATGAGGTGGCTAAGTTGGCTATGTGGGGGCTAAGTTGGCCAAACGACAACACGGTATCGTAGCACACCAATTGACCAGAACATGTACCTATATCTATATCTATATCTATATATTATATTATTATTATTATTATTATTATGTAAAGATAAATTATAACTATTCCCTTCCAAATGCTTGTTTTACTTTTCACTTGAAATGCTTGTTTTATTTTTACTAAAAGTGAAGTTATAAATTTTTTTTATAAATTTTTTTGTTAAATTTTAAGAGAGATTAACATAATTTATCTATTTTATAATGTGATTGGTTCATGTAGTGTGAATATAAGTAAAGCTATATAACATTTATTTTACCGCGTTTGACTTTCCTTGTGTTCAAATTAGAGGGTCTAGTTTAGTGTATTGTGAGCCTATTTTGAGTCTACTTCAATTTTTCAAACTGTTCAATTTTTACTAGCTCTCGATTAGATCATTCAAAAAATATATGGTTAATTAGAGATTGATAACAACTTGTTTGAATCATATTTATTCTTAAAATTTTAAAGGTCATGTATAATTTTAAAAACTAGTGTTAAGACAAATGTTATTTAAACATGTGACTAACAATATAGAATTTGGAATGCCATTCCTTTTGTGGCTCTTCGGTCCATTTGAAAGCACATGAATGAGACTGCCTCTTTCAAGATATCCAACCAAACATGGAGGAGTCACATGAAGCTATCACTGTTAAGCTTGCAATCTGGCTGAAATCCACCTCGAGGGATTTTCATTTTTCCATCACTGATTTTATGTATAATTTGCTACAAATTAGATTTTGTTTGGGAGGGAGGTTGTAATGCAGTATTGTCATGAGGTACAAGGGGGCTTGAGTTGGAAACTCTCTAACTCTCTTTGGGGCTTTGGAAATGCACATGATTAGTATTGTTATGGGTGATAACTTAGTCGGGATGCTTAGCTTGGACAATGATGCAAATTCTTTCCAAGCTTTTGTACCTTTTTGTTATAATAAAATTTAACTCTTTTGCTGTTGAAAAAAAAAAACAATATAGAATCAACCTAATTTAAAAATAAATAAATAAATAAATCTGTTTTGAAGACTTTAAAAATTGAACGGTTCAAAACACCGGAGTGAACCCAAAATGAGCCCACAATATACTAAATTAGACGGCAATTCTTATTTTACTTTCAAAATATTTCAAAAAAAAATATTTCTGACCATTCAAATATTCAAATCTCTATTACCTCAATAGTAAAACTCTACTTTTAAATCATTATCTACTTTAATGTGTAATCTTTGAATCAAATCTCCCTCTATAGCTAGCTAATATGGTTGAAAAGATAATAATTGCATCTATTATAAATTATAAATATGGTGGTTGTAGTATTAAAAGAAAGTCATCTTATCTTTTGTTCACAAATGTGACATGTAACGTTCAATGAAATTCATAGAGTGTATCACAAGTTTTATTATGATGATTTAATTCGTTTATTTTGTAAGTTCTTATATGTAAATTATTTATAAAAAAAATTAATAATAATAATAATAATAATAATAATAATAATAATAATAATGTGTGTATAAACTATGTTGGAAAATATGAGAAACATATTTTGATTATTTAGCCCATATTTGCATTAAGAAGAGAGTGATTGATAGATGGGCACACCCAAAGAGAAAGTGTCTTCGTCCAGAGTCTTTGCCCAAAGTCTTTGTTGAACTTTCTTAAAATTAAAATAAATAAATAACAACTTTATATTACGGTATGGAATGTACGTCTTAGCAAAGATGACGACAAGTCTCTTGGTCTATAAATACCCACTCATTCTCTTCATTTTTTTTCATTCATTCATTTGTACCAACAAGAACAACAATATATAGCTCTTTGTTTTGCAAGTTTGCGAAAATATTCTTTGCTTGTCACTTTTTTTTGGTATTTTCTTTTTTATTTTCTCGAGAAAACAAGAGAGATAGAGATGTTGCACAGGGTTGTGGAGGGGATCAAAGGCAACGATGGGAATGATAAGAAGATCAAAGGGACTGTTGTGTTGATGAAGAAGAATGTTTTGGATTTCAATGACTTCAATGCTTCCATTCTTGATCGGGTTCATGAGTTGCTTGGACAAAAAGTCTCTTTGCAACTCATAAGTGCGGTTAATGCCGACCTTACTGGTGAGTACTCATCTTGATCGGTTGATTTATGTGTACAGAATTCGATCACACAATCAAAAGATAGCGTTGTATCTTATTCTGTGCATCATATACAATTCTATCACTTATCCCAACCCATGTGATAGAGTTGCATATGATTCTCTTATTGGATTTTGTGAAGTAATTAGACTTGTTTTATTTTGATCTTGTATTTAGAAAAAATATCAAAAAATTATTCAAATGTTAAATATATGAATTAAATTTATACTAAACATTTCCAATTTTGTTTTGAAGAGATTGAAGTTTACACATTTTTGTGGTTATGTTAAGAAATTAGAGTAAAAAACAATGGGAGGGATAAAAATATTTTCCATATAATCAACTATTCTAGTTGAAAGATCGATTTGATTCAATCATAAAATTTATCATTAGCGTTTCTGATGATTCAAGTTTTAAATAGCATAAACAGCCAAACCCAAATCTTTCTGGGTTGGGGGGTTTTCTAGAGACACAACCCACCTACCCAACATAAAACTCAACATCTTATTAAATGCACTTTTTGATTCAAATCCCATGGCAGGTGCCATGTTAGGTTTATTTATTTATGCTTCGTTTGGCAAGTGATTTTTTTAGGTAAAAAGTCAAAAAATCATTAAAAAAATTAAAAAGTCAACAACTCATACTAAAAAGTCAAAGATTCCATTTTCTCTCTACTTTTTGCACATTTTTTCGTAAAAAACTAAAAAGTCATTCCAAACATACTAATTTTTTTTTACATCACGTTTAAGCTAAAAAATTAAAAATTTACTAAAAAAGCATATTCCCAAACAAGACGTTATTAATAGAATGGTGGTAGGTTTGTAAGAACTTCTCAACTAGTAGGATACATAGTTTTAAATAAGATTGAATTTCATATCCGGATACACTATAAAAAAAAAATTAAAGTTTTAAAGATTAAAAATAAGGGATAGAATTATTTTTTAAGAGCTAAATATTTTTGTTGCGAAAAATATCATAATTATATTTTTTGTAACGAAAAGTGGACATTAGTGATGAATTATTATTCTTTTAGGATCAAATTTTTTGTCTCAAAAAATAATATTTTGAGACCAAATTATTTTGTTCCTAAAAGTTTATTTATTAATGACATTTTCAAATTTTGTCCCTAAAAGCTTTGTTTTTGAATTTTTGCGACGACTTTTTAGCGACTATTCTCATGACGATGAAAATTGATCCTTAAATGTTTTTTGTAACAAAATTTTCATTTTTAGACACTAAAACATTTTATCTTTAAAACTCTTATATGTTGTAGTGATATAACTTGAAAAATAATTATAAATTAGTGATAAACTTTATCAATATTAATAATTAAAATAATAAATTTTTCCACCGATATGTAATAACTTTTTCAACTTTTTACTAAGGGTAATTTCCCTTTTAAATAACAATCGAGAATATATCGAAATTAGTGATACGATCATATATTGATTGATATTAGACATTATTAAGTTATATATTGGTAGCCAAAGTTTAAATTCTTATCCATATACGTATCAATTGATTTTTAAAATCTAATGAGATGAGAAAAATATTAAAAAAATATTGGAGTAATAAGTATCTGAATTTGAAATCTACCTTCTAGGCTTAAACTTTTGGTTGTTGGGCCACAATTACATTGAATATTGTTTTTGAATTTTGAATATTTTTTAAAATAAATATTTTTTTTGGGTAAGTAAAATTGCTGATATTTGTATGATCCTCTCAACCATGGGTCAATGACCAAACCTTCCTGTCAAAAATGGAACTATTTAATCACAACTATTATTTGGCCCCAGAAACCATTATTGTACTTGTTAATTTCCATTTCTTTTATAGATCACCTGTTACCTATATAAGAGTGCGTATTGACTGTCATTTTTCTCTATTACCATTAACACAATATGACATAATAATAGGAACAAGTCAAATTGATAGAATTTCATTATTAAACATAACTTTTTCGTTAAATGTGTGAATCCCACGCTATTTAAGAGAATTATATTTAATTTGGTAATTAAATTGTCCTAGAAAAATTATAATTTTAAAATGGGGTGAAGGGACTAATACTATCATTTTTAATTTTTTTAATTTTTTTTTTTTTAGAATCACCCAATATTAAAATATGAGACCATATTGAAACTTAATGTGGACCTTTCATATCCTAGTTATATGATGAGATATTGATTAAAAGATAAAACAATGAAAAACAATAATAATAATAATTTAAATCACGGTGATAATTTTGTCTCTCTTAACCTTACCTAACCATTACCACCGGGGGTGGTGGTCTAGTGGAGAAGACATCCCTTTTCATAAGCGTGCCTCAGGTTTGAATTGTGGGGGGAGTGAAATGCTTGGTAATTTTAATGGTTCTTTGCAAAGATATCGCTTTGTATTCCATTCGAATCATGAGCTTGTCTGTAACATGTGGTTGAGCTCCGTTATAGTGCCTCGATAATGGGTTTCTTCTTATAAGTTAGGTTAAATCAGGCCCATAACCAGTTATCCCGGGGCCTGGGCCCACAAAATGCAGTGATGATACCTCAGACTAAGTAAAAAAAAAAAAAAACTTACCTAACCATTATTGTATTATAAAAATTTTACAATAACACATAAGTTAAACAGGTTAATTGGTTCATTTGTTTATTTATTAATTACCTGAAAATCACTACATAATAATATTATAGATTTTGATGGTTAATTTAAAATTATGGGTGATATAAGCAAAAGAGTTAATTGCTTAAAATTTAAAAACAACTAGTCTTTATTAAAATTTTATATTTTTATTTGCTATATATATAAATTCATAAACAACTAAAATTAAATAAAACTAACTCTAATTTATTTTTATTTTTAAAAGTAACTATTTTAAATTAATCAGTGACTATATTTATATTGCATTATCAATGATTTGATATGAATTTTATATATATATATATATATACATATACATGTATTTCATATTATAAATACGAAAATGAGTGAGAGCACTAATTAGTGCTATTACTAATGATGTGGCAGTGGATCCCACCATGAATGATTTCATATTTTGGCCTTCAACAATGCTACAGATCACTAAATTCCTATCACTAACACCATCACTAATGATGTGGAAAGCAAAAAAAAAACAAAACTAAGACACAAAATACATGTGGCAGTGGGTGGGACCCACTGCCACATCATTAGAGCAATCACTAATTAGTGGTCTGCATCATTTTTCTTTGGCCTTGGTATTATATTTTTTTTCTTTTTTTATTGAGTGCCATGTCATTAGTGGTCTTTTTAGAACTCCATATTAATTTCTAAATATTATAATATGACCCTTAAAATTAATTTTGCAAAAATAAAATAAGATTACACCATATCTTGAAGTATGTTTCACTATGTCCATGTTTCCTAAAAAATAAAAAATAAAATCTGTTTATAAAGGAACTTGTTCCGTGTCCGTGTCTCTGTCCTAAACACGGTCATGAGTTTGAACCAACTTGTTTGAATAGTCATGGCATCATAGTCCATACACAATCACATGATTAAATAGTATGATTGTAAGGTCTCGTTTGAGATGTGAGTTTACTTTTTGACTTTTTAGTCTGAGGTTAAAAAATCTCGTTTGAGATAAGTTTTTTGATTTTGTTGATTTTTGTGAGGAAAAAAAATAAAATAATTATGAGTTTGATATGACATTTTGTCTTATTTGACTAAAATAGTGTATTTTGTCCTATATAATTATTTTAGCCCCAACATTTATCCCAAATGGGCCTAAGTGATTAAACAGAAGGAAAGATACCTTTGTTGGTGCAAAGAGGATCCCATATATTAAGAAGAAAAATGTTTGAGAGCCCTAATTTTTGTGGCTCAAATGGCTCAAATTTGTCAAAACAACGTTGTTTTGACAATTTTAATTTTGTTTTGTACTCAAAACGACGTCGTTTTGGCAAATTCGAGCCATTTGAGCCACAAAAATTAGGGCCCTCTACCATTGTTGTATTAAGAAATACATTAGTTGAATATTATTTTATGAATATTTTATTTTAAAATAATAAGTCTTAATGCAACTATATGATTGTGTATAATTTTTTTATACAACCATAACATTTTATTATTTTTCTGTTTATATAACATATATTGTTGAATTTCGTGAAATTACTTTACTATATACTATAAGAGACTAACATGGAGGTGGTTTAGGAAGCCTGTTAATATATAACACTACAAGTTGTTCTTATAAAATATCATGTATAATGTTTGAACCACATATCAACTGATCTTTACTGAATAATAACAAACCATATATATTATGAATTTAAATGGAACTACACATCATGCATGATGTTTCATCAAAAAAGATACATCACTCTTGATGCAAGCATACAACCCGTTGTCAATTAGGGAACTAATTTTAATCAAAACATTCCTGTATTTGGTCATCTGTCTTTCTTTTACATCTCACCTGCTACACATAATAAAACAAATTAAAAAGAAAAAAGAAAAGATGTGAGTTAGGCTGCTACGCCTCATGGTCTCATCCACCCCACACGTATTTTAATGATTTGAGTTATTCATATTGTACGATTTGTTAAAAAAAATAATTTATGTATAAAATCAAGTTAATAGGATATTGCTAATCATAACAGTATACTGGTAGTCATATGATCAAATTATTTTTGTTTTAAAAAATACAAAAAATTATGTGACTACCGATATAATCGAATCATATAATTATTGATATTTAATTATTTTTTATGTAAATAAGATTTTACAATAAAAAAAATTCAAAACACTAAACTGAGTTCAAGATGGAGCCCACTAAGGGCCACAACACCCCAGCTATCCCTTATCTACAACCATGCGTGCAATGAGAACTTTACCTGCATTGTCAATGAACTTTAGTTTTTTTGGAATCACACCATAGTTCTTAAATGTTGATGATAGATACAAGGAACGAACTTTCACCTAGTCTGAAAATAACACATAAGTTAAAGAGGTTAATTTGGTGAGTGCTTCTTTCCATTCATCTGTTTATTTATTAATTATTCTTGTGTTATTATTATTATTTAACTTGCCCAATTTTTAATCTGAAAATCACTATACATGATGTGGGTGTTTGGGAAGTGAGTTTTTTTGTAGGTTTTTTTAGTTGTAGGATATTATTGGAGAAATTTTTTTTTGTGTTTGGAAAGATAGTTGGGTTTTTTTGTGGTTGGATGTGATATTTGTAAGATAAAAAGTGAAATGATTATGGGATTTGATATGATATTTTGTTTGGATTGGTTTTTTTTGATTTTGTAACCAATTTGTCTTTTAGTGAAAAAAACAAAAGAAAACCAAAAACCAAACTTCCCAAACAGCGCCATATAAATAAGCAAAGAGTTAAACAGTGCAATAGTGATTGCTAAAAGTCTAAACTACTAGTCTTCATAATACACTGTTTAATAGTCATATCAGAACACGTTTTTCATAACACACTGATTAATTAACCGTGATATCAGAGGTACATTTAAGTGCAAAGGTTTGTAAATTTATATTCCAATGTATTAATTATCTTCAGTTTAGACTTAAAACTTACCAACAAGATTTGAATAATAAATATTGTTCCTTGCTTGAGGATGATGAGATATCACAATCACATGGTTAAATCATGTAGTTGCTGAGTGATGTGAATTCCCTAATTGACTAACGTTATCCTTGTTAATTGAACTTTTTTTTGTCATTTTTTTCCTCATTGATCTATATTTTTTTGTTACTAAACTACACTACAAAATTTAAATGTGGTGTTTTTCAGTGAAAGGGCTGAAAGGGAAACTTGGAAAGCGTGCATATTTGGAAGACTGGATTACTACAATCACCCCATTAACCGCAGGCGATTCAGCATACGATGTCACATTCGATTGGGACGAGGAGATAGGAGTTCCAGGGGCATTCATAATAAGAAACTTTCACCATAGTGAATTCTACCTTAAGTCTCTCACACTTGATCACGTTCCTGGACACGGTCGCGTTCACTTTGTGTGCAACTCTTGGGTTTACCCAGCTAAAAATTACAAAACAGATCGTGTTTTCTTCAGCAATCAAGTAATAATAGTTTCTACTAATTAATTTGTTTTTTTTTTTTGTGAAATTGAATGCTGAAATAACCAGTCATTGTGATTTTTTTGTTGTAGACGTATCTTCTAAGTGAAACTCCGGCACCGCTCATTGAGTACAGAAAACAAGAACTAGTGAACTTGAGAGGAGATGGAAAAGGAAAGCTTGAGGAATGGGACAGGGTTTATGACTATGCTTACTACAATGACTTGGGAGATCCCGATAAGGGCTCCAAATATGCCCGCCCAATTCTTGGTGGATCGACAGAGTACCCTTATCCCCGTAGGGGAAGAACAGGCCGCCCACCAACCAAGACAGGTTACTCATTAGGACTTGTTTCAAATCACTTAGCTATGTCATTAGGATCTTCAAACTAATTTAAGTTTCAATCATGTTAATATAATTTTGTTCCTTATATTTTGATGACAGATCCAGAATCGGAGAGTAGGTTGGCGCTTCTAATGAGCTTGAACATTTATGTTCCAAGAGATGAACGGTTTGGTCACTTGAAGATGTCGGATTTCTTAGCGTATGCATTGAAATCCGTTGTTCAATTCCTTGTTCCAGAGCTTGAGGCTTTATGTGATAAAACACCTAATGAGTTTGATTCTTTCCAAGATATACTCAAAATCTACGAAGGAGGAATCAAGCTACCTGAGGGGCCTTTACTCGACAAGATTAAAGAAAATATTCCCTTGGAAATGCTCAAGGAACTCGTGAGGACCGATGGTGAGGGATACCTCAAATTCCCAATGCCACAAGTAATAAAAGGTACTACATAGGTCTGAAACCCGATCACATTTTTTTTTGGAAAACAAAAGGGATGTTCTACTTCAAAATGACGCAATTTGAGGTTTTAAGTTACACAAAAAGAAAACCAAAAACAATTTTTTTACAACTCAAACTTAAAGCCCAAAATTGCATCGTTTTGAGGCACAGTACTCATGTTGCCCAGTAGGAACTTGTTGAGTTGGAACATAACGATTTTCATACAAGTGCATTTTTATTTAGTGCAAAGATATACTTGAGTATACAAAAGAAATTATGAAGGACATATCATTTGGAATCACTCACATGAGGACTTTTGACTCCACTTGCCATCCACCTACGAACATCTTGATCCAAAGGTTATTATTAAGCTTCTATAATATTTTGACTCCACTTGCCATCCACCTACGAACATCTTGATCCAAAGGTTATTATTAAGCTTCTAAAATATTATAGGATACTCTTATCTTCTCACTATATTCTAAAATTATCTAAACTATTATAGTATATAGTGGAGTTTTTTTATACTTTTATAGAATATTCTAGAACCTTTCAAAATCTTCTGGATTTGTCTTGATTTCTTTAAACTTCTTCAATGTTTTGAATTCTTGTAGGATGTTCTAGAATCTTTCAAATTTCTCTACAAATTTCTAGAATCTTGTAGATTCATGTGAAAAACTAGAGTCCATGTTGAATCTCAACAGACCCCAAATCTCTTTTTTCTTTTGGCATGGTCTTGTAGTAACTCTATTATTTTATTTGTTCATTTAAAAAAATTTAAAAAGTTGTTAGCTACTAATTCATTTTATCAACTTGGAATGTTTAATCATTTATTTGTAATTTTTCATTTAACTATAACATTTTCTTGGTGTTGGAGTAGAGGACAAGACTGCATGGCGGACAGACGAAGAATTTGCAAGAGAAATGTTGGCTGGAGTAGACCCTGTCATCATTAGTCGTCTCCAAGTAAAATGCTTATCGATTTTATATTGTTTTCATTTATCTGTGAAAATGATTTTGAAAATTAATTTTCAATGTTTCTTAAAAAATGGGTTGCTTCAAAAAACTTTCTTGGAAACAATTTTCGAAAACAGTTCATATACCCATCTTTTATTTTTCTTTCTTCTGGAAAATGAAAATAGAAAATTACATTTTTGACCTTCAATTGTAATATTCACTAAATCTTCTTTACTTGCAGGAGTTCCCTCCAAGAAGCACTCTAGATCCTAAACTCTATGGAAATCAAAACAGTTCAATAACTGAAGATCACATAAAGAACAATCTAGATGGGTTCACAATAGAAGAGGTAAGTAACATTCATAAATTTCAAATGGTACACAATCTCAATGACAACTAATTTAATCATTGTATTGTAAACCATAATAATTTAACAAGCATTTTATACATAGGCAATCGAAAACAACCGGCTCTTCATATTAGATCACCACGATGCTTTAATGCCATATGTAAGGCGGATTAATGCAACATCCACAAAGATTTACGCCACAAGAACTCTCCTCTTCCTGAAAAAAGACGGGACTTTGAAGCCTCTGGCAATCGAATTAAGCTTGCCACACCCAAATGGAGATCAATTTGGTGCCATAAGCAAAGTGTACACCCCATCTGAGCAGGGTGTTGAAGGCTCCGTTTGGCAATTGGCTAAAGCATATGTTGCAGTCAATGATTCCGGCTACCATCAGCTCATCAGCCATTGGTACATATTTTTCCAAACAAAAGCTTATTATGATAAGTTGGTGTTCCTATTTTGTGTAGCTTCTTGTAAGTTGAAAGTTGATAATCAAAAAGCATAAGCCAAAAGCACCACTATCCTAATTTCTAGATTATCAATTTTTTTTTTTTATAAAGTTTATTTTAGCTATTGTTGTCTAATAAGTTGCAAGCAAAAGCTTCACGAAATAGTCTGTCATATACAATTTGTCCTCTAACTTCAAATCATTGAATTGAGTACCTCTAATTTGGATTGCAGGTTGAATACTCATGCGGCAATTGAGCCATTTGTGATTGCAACAAATAGACAGCTGAGTGTGCTTCACCCGATACACAAGCTTTTGCATCCTCACTTCCGTGATACAATGAATATAAATGCTTTGGCTAGACAAATCTTGATTAATGCCGATGGAATTCTTGAGAAAACAGTTTTTCCAGGAAAGTATGCCATGGAAATGTCGGCTGTAGTTTACAAGAACTGGGTTTTTCCCGAGCAAGCACTTCCTGCCGATCTTATCAAGAGGTAAAAACATTACTTCCTTACTATAGTAAAATTTTCTGTTTAGTTCTCAACATACTTGGTACTAAAACAAACTTGTAGCGAATACACAAAAATCAATATGAACTTGCTTCTTTTTTTTTCTTATCTAGAGGAGTGGCGGTGAAGGATGACAATGCTCCACATGGCATCCTATTATTGATTCAAGACTACCCTTATGCAGTGGATGGACTTAAAATTTGGTCAGCAATCGAAACTTGGGTTCAGGACTACTGTAATTTTTACTACAAGAATGACGAAATGGTTAAGGAAGACTTAGAACTCCAATCTTGGTGGAAGGAATTGAGAGAGGAAGGGCATGGCGACAAGAAACACGAGCCATGGTGGCCTAAAATGCAGACTCGAAGAGACCTAATTGACTCTTGCACGATTGTTATTTGGGTGGCTTCTGCCCTCCACGCTGCTGTCAATTTTGGACAGTACCCTTATGCAGGGTACCTCCCAAACCGCCCAACTCTAAGTCGTCGGTTCATGCCTGAACCTGGTACTCCTGAGTACGAAGAGTTCAAGTCGAGCCCTGACAAGGCTTTCTTGAAAACAATCACAGCCCAGTTGCAAACACTTCTTGGGGTTTCTTTGATTGAGATTTTGTCAAGGCATTCGTCAGATGAGGTCTATCTTGGGCAAAGAGACAGTGCTGAATGGACAACCGATGACGAACCATTGGAGGCATTTGGAAGATTTGGGAAAAAATTGGGAGAGATTGAAGAAATGATCATTGAAATGAACAATGATGAGAATTTGAGGAACAGGGTTGGGCCTGTTAAGGTTCCATATACTCTGTTGTTTCCAACAAGTGAAGGTGGACTCACTGGAAAGGGAATTCCTAATAGTGTTTCAATTTGAATATTCTCTTTCTTTTTGTATTCTGATGTTGCATTTTCGTAGAAGCATATGTTGATTTATAAATTCTTAATAATTGTTAGTGATGATTTATAAATAAATACCTACATCAATCAGATGTGATCCTTATCATAATTATAATATGCGGAGGAACCATTCTTCAACACATTGGCAACAATTAGCATTTCACAAATTGAAGCATCTCAATGGCACGAATTTGATAGTTTCTGTTGCAATCACATCCATGAATGTAGAAGCTTTTTATTTTTATTATTTTTATTTCTTTAAAGGCAAACAGTTAGTTTTATTCCAAAAAATGAGACATTACAATAATGCTGTCAACACAGTTTTAGAGAATTGACAATCAAGTCGTAGGCTTGAAAGAAATAATACACCTAATAAAAGAAATCTCTCACAATTCGAGAGGCCGAGTGTAACTAACATGCCTGATAAGCAAGCAAACAAGCTAACCAATAGCTAAAACAAAGGAGATAGGAAGCAAAAGAAACTAAATATTGTTTGGAATTGGGTCACAGTTGTGTGCCCCGATGTGGTCCACTTCGGTTCTACTTCGAGGATTTGAACTATTCACTTTTTAAGGTACAAAGTAAAATATATTTAAAAAAAATCAAATTAATTAGATATCGATAATTATTTTATCAAATCACATTTGTATTTAAAAAAAAAAAAAATGAATGGGGAGTATGATATTAAGTGTAAAACTGAACATCAAATATTTTTATTTTTAATTGAAAATAATGTATTTTTTGTCTAATATTTTAGTTAATCAAGCAAAAAAATTATAATAATAGGATATAGTTTTTGTAATTAAGAAAATAGAATTGAGTTGAATTCAAATATTTTTATGAATAATTTCATCTAGTGAAAATTAGTTTCATTAATTTAACTTATGAAAATTTACAACTAAAACCTTTGACTTACATATATTTATCAAGAATCTTAGGGAAGTATTTGTAATTCAACTAATAATCCAAGTAGGGTAAATTACGCTTTGTTCCTTTTATATTTTATCGTCTTTTCACTTTGGTCCTTGAAATATATATATATATATATATATATTCTCTTTGATCCTTCATGTTTTAAGTTTTTTATTTTTCTTTCTAAAGCTAACTTCTGTCCAAAATTACACAAAAAATACAATGATGGCTACCACAGGATATAAAAATATATTATTATATTTGAGTTTAAGTTTGACTTAGATGTGTAAGTTAAATATAATATTATATTTCATATCATGTGGCTGTTAATGTGATATTTTTTTGTCTAATTTTGAATAAAAATAAACTTTATAAGTAAATTGAGAAAAATTTAAACGTGAAAAAAAGTAAACTCAAGTAATAATAAAAAAAAAAATTGCAATTTTGAGGGCTACAAAATGTTCAAATAACGTTAACAATAAAATTATATTTTCATATAGTGTAAAATTTTATTCTATTCAAATTCATCAAAAAATAAACCTTTAAAAGGTGAGATTATTATGGATCTAAATTTCCAACCCCAATATTCAAGAAGATCGACGTTGGAGATGAGCCGGTGATCAACGATTACGTTCATTGTAGCAGATAGGGACAAATCTGAGAAAGTTAATGATAGATTTGAAGTCCCTGATAACATATCTTAGTAAAACAATTGTTCGGCTTATATCGACAGATGCTTAATCAAAATTTCACAAAACAACACAATGATCAAGTAATTGTGTTGAGGTTCTATACCTTGAAAGTTCAAGGACTTTCTTGTAGTAAAAATAATAGCAAAACAAGCAAGAAAAAGAGAAAGAGAAACAAAGAAGAAGAAGATGATGAAGTAAAATGATTGAATAAACAATCAAATTACAAGTAAAATACATTAAAATTACTCCTATCTAAGTATAAACTACTCTTATGTAGATTAGATCTACTCCTAATGGATATCAAGTCATGTATTAATTTGTTGGTGATTTTACAATAGACCCATGAATGGCAATTTACACAAAAACTAACCACCACCTAAATAACTACTCTTAACTTCCTAAATCTTCCATCTTCTTTTTTACAATGTCATGTGTCTTTCATCCCTTTAATCTTCATCACTTGTCTTAACATCTCCTAACCTCCAAGATTTTCTTACATAATAATAATAATAATAATAAGTAATATAAAGTTTAAACTTGGTCATAATTGACAAAAAAATTATTTATGGTGTAAACAATGCCACCCAATTTTTTAATGATGAGAGGTTTTAAGGTTTTTATTTTTCTTTCTAAAGCTAACTTCTGGCCAAAATTACACAAAAAATACAATGATGGCTACCACAAGATATAAAAATATATTATTATATTTGAGTTTAAGTTTGACTTAGATGTGTAAGTTAGATATAATACTATATTTCATGTCATGTGGCTGTTAATGTGATATTTTTCGTCTAATTTTGAATAAAAATAAACTTTACAAGTAAACTGAGAAAAATTTAAACGTGAAGAAAAGTAAACTCAAATAATAATAAAAAAAATATTGCAATTTTGTGGCCTACAAAATGTTCAAATAACGTTAACAATAAAATTATATTTTCATATAGTGTAAAATTTTATTCTGGTAGATAGTAAAATTTTACTATTTTCACTACTAAACATACTGAAATAACATCTATGCCTGAGATCATAGCCTCAATATTCAAATTCATCAAAAAATAAACCTTTAAAAGGTGAGATTATTACGGATCTAAATTTCCAATCCCAATATTCAAGAAGATCGACGTTGGAGATGAGCCGGTGATCAACGATTACGTTCATTGTAACAGATTGGGACAAATCTGAGAAAGTTAATGATAGATTTGAAGTCCCTGATAACATATCTTAGTAAAACAATTGTTCGGCTTATATCGACAGATGCTTAATCAAAATTTCACAAAACAACACAATGATCAAGTAATTGTGTTGAGGTTCTATACCTTGAAAGTTCAAGGACTTTCTTGTAGTAAAAATAATAGCAAAACAAGCAAGAAAAAGAGAAAGAGAAACAAAGAAGAAGAAGATGATGAAGTAAAATGATTGAATAAACAATCAAATTACGAGTAAAATACATTAAAATTACTCCTATCTAAGTATAAACTACTCTTATGTAGATTAGATCTACTCCTAATGGATATCAAGTCATGTATTAATTTGTTGGTGATTTTACAATAGACCCATGAATGGCAATTTACACAAAAACTAACCACCACCTAAATAACTACTCTTAACTTCCTAAATCTTCCATCTTCTTTTTTACAATGTCATGTGTCTTTCATCCCTTTAATCTTCATCACTTGTCTTAACATCTCCTAACCTCCAAGATTTTCTTACATAATAATAATAATAATAATAAGTAATATAAAGTTTAAACTTGGTCATAATTGACAAAAAAATTATTTATGGTGTAAACAATGCCACCCAATTTTTTAATGATGAGAGAATTAAATTCTTGAAGAGTTGTATGAACAAAAATATAATAGAAACAATGAAAATTATAATCAATGGGGAAATTATCAGGAAATCCCATTTGGGAGACTTTTGCATTGAGAGATCCCTTCTTTTTTTGTTTTTTGTTTTGATACTCTGACTAATCCTATTTGTTTGGTAATGTTTACCAGCAAATCACGTGCATTGTTTGGGGTGTGGATTTTGTTACCTTTGTACCACTGTGTTGTATGTATCGTGTTTGGAAAGGATGTAGGTGAATCCCTTTGATTACGTGATCATGGTGTGGAGGTTGATTGTGTGGCGGTGATCTTCAGAGAGTATTTGAATGCATTGTGGGGTGTCGTTTCAGAGTGGGATGCTGTGGGCGTAGGGTTTGATTTTTTGCGTGCAGGTAACATGTTCATCTACGTTTGTATATGTGGTTGTGTTGGTTTCGTATTTTATTTCACACAGTCGTTTATCTTCATGATTTAACAGTGTGTTTTTTTCCATTGCAGCAATGGGGGACAAACTGATGTTGTTGTGTGCATATGGAGGTGATAACGTTGTCGTGATGCTTGACGCGTCCTTCACGTTAAGCCGTCTAGCTGATCACGTTAAGCCGAGTCAATGACTTGTCTCCAGATTTCATTTCTATGTTCTTCAAGAGAACTGGGTATAATAAATTCAAAATGGAAAACGAGGTGGACTTCCAAAATATGTTATGCCTTGCTAGGTCTTTCCGGGTGGACCACGTTGATGTTGTGGTGGAGTTGTGGGGGGATTCATCGGGGGAGAACGTCGTCGCGGTGTTGCTAAGAGTTCAGATGGCGAACACAGCTATGGGGAGTAAGTGGTTTTACAAATGATGTTGACGAAGATGAAGACTTGTTACCCAATTTTTGACCGCAGGCTCAAAAGGTGTTGTTGTCAGAATTATGGGCATTGGGCATTAGTAATGTGGGGCAATGTTTCGAAGACGGGGGCGGGTGAATTTCGTAAGGTTCTCAACAAGTATGCTATTGAATGCGGGTTCCAATTTAAGTTTCAAAAGAACGATTCAGTAAGAATTACGGCGGTATGTATGTTTAACGAGTCAAGGGGATATCCTTGGTCTGTACATGCTAGGGTGATGAATGTTAATGGGTTTTTTTATTTGAAGAAATGGACAGCGAACACACATTTGGGGTTGTTGTTCGGACTGCAAAAAACCTGAGGATGGGTTCTGAATTGGTTGTTGATGTCATGGCAGAACGCGTACGTGACAAGTCATTGACTCGGCCAACGGATGCCAAATATCATTTTCAAAAGATTATGGACTGTAAGTTAGTTACCGGTAGCTTGGTTAGGGGTTGAGAAGGCTAGGGAGGAACTATTCGGGGAATATTCTGCCTCATTTGACCAATTGCGGTAGTATAGTAACGTTATGATGGAATACAATCTCGGAAGTTATGTTAATTTTGAGTTCGATGAAAATTACACACATCAGTTCAATAGGCTGCTTGTATTATTCCAAGCTTGCATTGATGGGTTCAATCATTGTCGCTTATTATTATTTTTGGATGGTACTTTCTTGAAAGGGAGATACAAGGGTAATTTTCTTGCGGTCACGGCTAAAGATGAGAACAAAGGTAAAGTTAGTTCACCATTTAAATTACATGTTGTAATGCTTTCAATTTTTTTATCCTAGTTATTTTTTGTTACAAGGTGTGCAGTGTGTGTGTGTTT